AGTAGGTTGGTAGAGACGATTAGGGCGACTTACCCAAACACAATTAAAGTTAGAGAGTATTAAAATCAACTAGATAAATACATTCATCCAAAGATTCTAATGAGACTACTCATAAAGGAGGGAAGAAGATACCTAGAAGAAATTGGGGAAGACTTGATGTTGAGAAAGATGGCTCCTCTCTTCTAGCTTCTCCTCTTCTCCTTCCTTCAGCTTCTCTCTCTTATCTCTCTCTCTCTCTCTCTCTAACCAGGAACTTCTATATCAAAATCAGCTCTCCTCAAATGGGGGAAGGGGTCTTATATTTATATCCTTTAGGGGATGGACAAGTTCACGGCCAGGCAGGAGAAAGATCGCGGTCGTGATCTTCTTCCTTAAGACCGTGATCTGCCCGCGTCGCCATTTTGGCCTTCAAACGTGGGGAGTTCGTGGGCTGAATTAACGGTCGCCATTCATGAGTCATGGTCACGAATTTCCACGCAGTCTGGGTGAACTGTGGTTGTAATCAGACCTGGGAAACTCTCTGTTTCTCCTCGGTTGGCTTCTTCACCAAGTTTGCGCCCGAAGCCTCTAGATTTGCGATCGCGATCTTGGGTTCTCAGGACGCAAACTTCACCTTGACTTCGCCTTCTAATTTCTCGTCCATGATCTCCTTCTCCAGGCTGTGATTATCAGCTTCCGATCCATTTTGCTACACTTGTGCCCCTTTTCGTACCTAATTCGCCTGTATTGTCTAAAGCACCCTAAAATCACATCATAATCAAATAGAAACGAAATAGGAATGCAATCAATGCTGTTTTTACGATTATGCACATGAATTAGCACGAACAATCCTAAATATGAATGTTAAATAACACCAATTTGGATGTTATCAAACTCCCCACACTTTGGCGTTTACTTGTCCCCAAGCAAACTTACTCAAACCAATGCAACTCGATAGACAAATCAAGGTGGGATGCACTCTAGTTTTTAATTTCACAAAGAAGAGTAGACAGAGATGAGAAAACGTTACTATCATCTCACTATGAAACCACAAACTGCTTTGTGAGGACCATACTTACTACCTTATGATGAACATTCAAGGTGTGCACTGGGGGACTTCTCAACAACCATTAAGCACAAGAAATCTTGAGGGTGCTATTTATTCTTTCTTTCGATTTAGGATTTGTCGTTTATTGGTCTCCTTTTACAACATTGACGTGCCTTGCACCAAGAGAAGATGGATCATTGCCTACCCTTTCAAGGTCAGATGTGGGGAAGTTGATGGGCGGATTCGTCTTAGCCCGAGCACCACTTCCCACCCTGCACTCCACATTGGATTGCCACACATGTTGGGTACAGACGAGAGCTTGAGGTTTCTTGAATTGTTACAAGGTACTTTGTACCTTGTCATACGATTCCGTGAGGAGGAAATATGTTTGGGGGATGGTAAGTAGTGAAAGATGGTCGGGACGGGGTAAAGCTATCCGATGCCCTAACATATACTCAAAGGGCACTCTGAACCGTGAGGATCTGTTGCCTCTCACGTGAGAACCTCTTTTTCAAAAGATTTTTTTTTCAACAATAAGCAAAAAATTGTAAAAGTTTCGAGTTAAAAAATGATGGAGAATCCCTCACACATGTTCTTCCTAAAATAGCAAACATTATCAACTAACCATAGAGGAAGAAGCGAGTAAAATCCCTCATACACCGGTACTCTAATCATGCAAATACTCCCTAGCGAGCACAACACATCAATCATCTATCAATTCAAAGCATATTGAGTAGGGAGTTGCAAGGAACAAGGTGCTTTGGAACCCTCAAATTTGAATTTTTTTGGGTAATGCATTCAAGGTTCCAAAACACTATCATTTGGCCACTCAACACCACAAAAACACACACAATTGCTACCAAACACTCCCATAAGCATTCATCAACATCTTACATTCATAAACAAGGGAAGATACTAGCAATTCATGGCTCAATTAATAATGATTATCATTCAAGCAATTACACACATCCCCCCCCCCCCCACTTGAGCAACACATTGTCCTCAATGTGGGAGATTCAAAAGAAAAGATCATGAAGGTTTCAATAAGTTGGGTTGTTGGTTGGTGAAGGTACACAAGTGTAGGTCTTTGTCTTCCTGGCGGTTTTTACAATGATAGAACGCATAAGAAAGAGAAGAAGACAATTAAGAGTTATAGTTGCAATAAGTATATTATATGAGTACTAATACTACTAGTACTAGAATATTTAAGGTACGAAAAGTAAAAAAATAAAGCAATAATTAAACATTGTTTTATAGTAAAAGAAAGAAAAGCAAAGAAAAAGAAAAGATAGAACTTAGCCCTGGATTCCTAGTACTCAATCCTCCTCAGAGGGTCCTTCTTCTTCTTCTAGGAATGGTGCAAGGGGAGGGGAGCGAGCAATTTGAGGCGATACATCTTCCTTCGGACTATCCATCTTCTTCATTATAACATGAATTCACGCCATGATATGGAGTCGTGCTTTCTTCTCCAACCTTTGGTTGTGAAGGATCGTTGCTATCATCGCTACAACTCGCTACGACTCGGTAATCCTTTGCATTGTTGAATTGTGGGGGAACCAGATGAGAAGTGGATGGAGGCGCCTCTCCTCCCTCGTACATGCTTCCCACTTGTTCTTTCTCGATGACTAGTCCTCTTTGTCCACTTACCGTTGTAGCTTCTGGAAGGCGAAACACGGTACCCTCCATGTCCAACGTGTTAGTAGTTGGAAATGGAAGTCCACGTGCTCCCCAAATGCCATCGTCACTCATGTGCAACACTTTGATTCTCGACTTCTAGACGTTAAAGGATTTAGGAGTAGTCCTACTATCCAACCGAAGTTGCTCGACACCGAAGTTGACTAGGAAATACTTGGCAAGACGTATGACAAAAACTCTTCTATGAAGGGCAGTGAGTCAATGATCTGTTTCATAACGCTTGAAGATGGATAAGATGGCCAAACCGAGGTGAAGAAATTGAGGTAGGTGCATGCTTTGGAAGAAAGTGACGTCTCGGGCAGTCAAATTGCATTTGCTTCAGATCTTTCCACCCATGGACCTAGCAATCACATGGTGGATGAGCCGCCACTCCGGTTTCACCTCACTAGCCTTTGATATCTTGACATCCCACACTCGAATGTTGAATTTCTTGATCTCGAATTCATAGAAGAACTTGAAACATGGGAAGTTGGATTCCCTTATCAAGGTGGCAAAAGCGTCCGGTGAGTCAATGAAATCCGCCGAGTAAAAATCCATGGCTCTTGTAAATTCCCGGATTGATAGTTGGCGATGTTCTCTTCCTAGTTGGAAATGGATGTTGTCGTCAAGTTCGGCGGTACCACTTATTTCTTAAATGGTAAGAGTGCTAATGAACTCCAGAACAAGTACCCGGTAGATGTTTTCTTGAGTGGATAACAACTTAAACCACTCCAAGATAAGGTATGTTCAATAAACTAAAAGAGGTATAGAAACATGGTATTTAGATCTAAAAGATGAGATGGAAAGACTACTCGTGGATGCAATGTTAGACTTTCCCATAATAAACACGGACAAGATTGCGGTATTTCATTACGAGATCGCGACTGCGATCTCAGGCGTGACAACCGCAATCTTTGCCCTGAAGACAAACATAATGTTTTCACCCACTTCTCAAGCTTAATCATCCATATAAATCAATCCAACATCCAAAGAGAAGGCGAGGCAATGGTTAAATCCTATCAATCATCATCTACGCAATTCTACTCATCTACTTAAGCAATTATTCAAAAGAAAAAAGGAAAAGATACACAAACCAGGTTGTTGGGTTTCCTCCCAAAAACCACGTCTTTAAAAGTCTTTTCTCCGGACTCGACTCCTTGAAATCAAGAGGTACGAGCTTGACTCACTCCTACTGTCACCCTAGAAAATGGCCAAGTATAACCACTTCCTAAAGCGTAGTATAGCGGGTCGGGTTTTAATGTCAACCCGGGTCCTAGATATGATGACTACTCGGTGAATTCTTGTTATTTAGCGGTGAACTTTTAGTGAAACTCAAGCAAACAAAACACAAAGCAAGTAAACGGTTTGTTGTCAAGTCAAGAGAGGTCACCCGGATATGGTTTCCCCCTAGACTGCAGTTAAGCCGGATTGCAATTTACCAAGTTCAGTTTTCATGAAAGTTATACTGCGGAAGGTTCTCAATTAGCCTGAAGTCTCGACTAAAGGTCTCCAGACCCTCTCAATCTGAGTCTCTAGCGGGTGACTAACCTCCACCGGAGTAAACAGATTGAGGCCCTAATAACCAAACCTCCACTACCGAATTGACTTCGGTACAGAATAGCGAATTGGCCCCTCGACTAAAGTCACCAATTCGCCACCTTCGATTAAGGGTACTCTATCAACCTAGGCAGATATTCTCATTCCAGGTCAAAGCAGAAACAACAGGAATTTGATCAGGATTCAAGTCATTCAATCAATCAAACCTCAATCGAATATAATCAATTCACAAACACTGTACTTGGGTTCATACAATCAGACCTAGCATACAAATCTAGGGTTCTCCATACCCAGATGAATGGGGAAACTACTCCATAGAGAAAGAAGCAAAAGCAGATTCAGACACGGAAATCATACTGTGAAGTTGGATTCCTGCTTCTGGACGTTTAATCGCACTTCTCCAAACTCAAGACGGGCTCCAATGGTGTTGAAGATCGATCTATGGCGCTTGAGAACTCTGGTTCGACGCTTTCTCTCTCTAGGTATCGGTTTCTCTCTCAAAAACTCGGAACCCTTTGAAAATTGGCCTTCTTCCTCTTTTATCAGCTGCCTGGTCGCGATACCCGGTCAAAATACCCGGTCGGGTATTTTATGGATCGACCGGGTATTGTGAAACGCACCGTTCCATTAAAGGGGAAAATCCCCGGTCTACCACCAAAATCCCCGACCGGGGATTTATCGCCGTCGCCCGGGCCCCCTTCTGCTTCTCACGGGTGCCCGAAGGAGGAAATACCCGGTCGAGGCCAGAATATACCCGGTCGGGTATTTCTTCCTTTGACCGGGTATTCTGGTCCAGCAGCATCCTTTGTCCAATCTTCGCTCCTTTCGATCCAGAACTCGTTCCTTCGCCTCGATTCCAACGCCAGGACCTGAAATATGACATAAACACACAACCTAGCGTAAAATCGGCTTAGAATACGAGATTCCTCATCACAAACGACTTCAGAATAGGGGTGAAAACATGTATGATTATCGGTCTATCAAACTCCCCCACACTTAACCGTTTGCTTGTCCCCAAGCAAACCAAGTCAGACACTAGGTAAGCTTACATATTTCAATCAACCAACACTGGGGACAAGTCATAAAGGCACAAAACACGTGAATCACACTGGTTTTCAAACATCAATACATGCACAACCTCAATAACAACCTTGACAACCACCACAAAGGACATTCGAGTGCAGCAAATCGAGTAAAGGAAGAGTCTCCCGTCTGTTCACTGGCCAACCTAGACTTGATTCAACCACTTACTCAAAACAGTCGACTCATGCATCCAACTCAAAACATCAGAATAGAGACCGAGCAATCTAGGTCCTCACCGGGGTACAAGAGCATATAGAAAATGGAAATGAATCACTCACTCTCGACCAGTGGGGTCAGGACAATTTTTGATGCGAAAGATGCGCATGCTATTTCTCTCAATCCCTATCATCTCTTCACCATGATGGCAGCCTCTAAATGCTAGAGTTCACATCTGGGGTGTCACCACTAACTAATCAGGAGGTCTTAGACACAGGTTCAAATGACTGGCTAGGGTCTTGGACATGGGGAAAAGGCCTTTTAGGTGGTGGAAGTATTCATAGCAAAAAGGTTCCACATTTTCCAACACACAATCACAGTCAAACAACCCGGTATTTTCTTTCTGCTATTCTGCATTACTCAATATCTTAAGAGCACAAGAGCGAAGGAGGCATAATCATCAGCATTTCCAAGCCAGACTGCTAAGAAACACTGCTTACTGGGCATTACTCAGATTTTTGGTAGTGACTCTCTTTTTCTTTCAATTTTTCTTTTGTTTTTCTTTCATTTTTCTTTTCATTTCTTAAGAGAGCCACCTCTTCTGCATACATTTCAAACACCTGCCCAACTTTTAAGCACTACCTCCAACACTCACATAGACTTTAGCAGAGATAGCAGAGAATATATAAAACCACTCTGTGGAACCTTCTAAAAGATGCAACAAGGGTGATTTTTTCATTATAGACCAAAAGAAAGGATAACACACGGCTCAAAGGGCTGACTAGGGGATATGACACATCAGGACAGTCAGTTTTGGGCGTGGGCTAATCCTATGCCCCCATCATCTTAGCTAGTGACAACGTGAATGCTACACATCATGGAAGAGGGATCTATCGCACAAGAAAGAAATGAGCAGGCTCAAATCTCACATGGCTACCTATATGCTCTATCTCACATTCTGATACCCTGAACTAGATGCATAAACGACTGTCAAGGATAAGTAATCAGATCAAGTCAGATCAAGTCACAGTTGGCAAGCAAACAGTTGAAAAACTGAACCCCTACATCGTTCTACTGCACATCTCAGTCCTCATCATAGGTTGTCCTAGTCGCAAACAAGTTGTCATGCATTAATCCGAAAACCAATCAATTCATCCATCAAAACACAGTGCCAATATGATCAAACAGCAGTACTCGGAGCCCTCAAATCGTAAGATTTGGATAGTGGACTAGGCTCCAAGCACACAAACAGAGCTAATGCAGTCAAAAGATAAACATCCCCCCACACTTAAGATCGACATTGTCCTCAATGGAGAAGAGGAAAGGAAAGGGGAACGATGTTACCGGTATGCACAGACTGCAAGAGACTGGAAACGGACCAGGCGGGAACACAGCACAGCTCAAGGGAAACAGAAGAGCTCAACCAGAATATGTTAGGTCCAATGTCAGCCCAATAAGACATCATCCAGAACAAATGAAACAAACCAAAACAAAACCAAATCGCAATCCGACTCGAAACATAAGAAAGAAAGTCAAACCGTGGTGGGGTTGCCTCCCCACAAGCGCTTCTTTACCATCTTTTAGCTGGACGCCCATGGTGGATACTCAGGGAAGGGCAGGAACAGGTGCCTCCAAGAGCGGATCCACATCGCTCTTGAGGTACAGCTTCAGGTGGTGACCGTGCACCCGACGGTTGCAACCACCAGCAGAAGTCAGCTCGACCTGGCCATCCGGCAAGATGCAGGCGAGTGAGTACTCGGATGGCCAGGGTGGTCGCGGTGCAGGGGGTGGGACCAGCTCATAGTGGTCTCCACCTTTCTTCCGTGCAGGCTTAGCAGCTTGCTGCTTCGGCCGCCACTCCTCCTTGATTTTTTTGTTCGGAGGCGAGGCTGGATGGAGTGGCGGCGAAGGAATGATAGGAGGGTCCTGCAAAATGAGAGGTGCAGAAGGATACACGACAGGCTCGTGTATCTGGTCAGAAATAGCATGCACAGGGGTGACAGCAATCATAGCACAGTGATCAAACTCAGTCACAGAAAAAGTAGCCTGTTCATTCCCAGCACGCAGAATCAGTTTACCATCATGCACATCAATCAATGCCTTGGCGGTGGCAAGAAATGGTCTACCCAGAATCAAAGGCACATCCACATCATCATTTATATCCAGAATAACAAAATCAACAGGATATGTGAATGCACCCACATTAACAAGCAAATCTTCTATGATACCCCTAGGATGCACCACAGAACGATCAGCTAGCTGAATGCTCATCCTAGTAGGGCTAAGTTTACCTAGGTCTAGCTTTTTGAACAATTTATATGGCATGACATTAATGCTAGCTCCTAGGTCCGCCAAGGACTTTCCTACATGCATGCTGCCAATAGTAAGGGGGATAGTAAAACTCCCTGGGTCCTTGCGCTTTTCGGGCAGCTTGTTCTGCAGGATGGCAGAACATTCCTCGCTCAGCAGCACTGTCGAGAGATCCCCAAGTTTCTTCTTGTTGGTGCAGAGATCTTTCATGAACTTAGCGTACTTGGGCATCTTCGACAGTGCCTCCACAAATGGTATGCTGATGTTGAGCTGCTTCAACATTGCCATAAAATTGGCAAACTCAGTCTCCAGCTTGTCCTTGTGAAGGCGAGTGGGGAAGGGAAGCTGGGGTACGTGCTCCTTCACCACTGGTTGTGGCTTGGGAGCAGGGGCTTCCTTCTCCACCCGCACTTCTGCATCACCGGCTGGAAGTGCTGAAGCAGGTAATGGTTCCTCCTGCCTGGTCGGGGCAGGATCAGCTGATGTAGGCCTGCCGCTCAGGGTGAAAATGGCATGTGAGGTCTCGTGCGGGTCCCGTGGATTGGGGCTGGTGGTGGCAGGTAGAGTCCCCGGGGCCCGAGCAGTAAGCTGGCGCGCTAGGACACCGACTTGGTGCTGTAGATCTTGCAAAATAGCACCCTGGTTCCTCTGCCCTGCCTCCAAAGAAGCTATGCTCTGGTCCACCCTTGCGAAATTCGCCTGGCTGGTGGTCATGAATGTCGCCAAAATGTTCTTCAGATCAGCCATCTGATTATCGGGAGCTACGGCTGCTGGAGGCTGAGCAAACTGGCCCTGGGGCTGCTGGAATGGCTGCCCTTGCCTAGGCTGGTAGGGCTGCTGCTGTGGTGGTGGCCCTTGCCTATCCTGGTAGGGCTGCCTCTGCTGAAAACCACCTGCTGGTGCTGGGAAACCAGGTGGTTTGTTGGTGTTGCTGCTCCAGGCAAAGTTGGGATGCTGGCGCCATCCCTCATTATATGTATTGCTGTATGGGTCGAAGCGCCGAGCATTGGCGATGAAGGCCACCTGCTCTTGGGGATTAGAGGACTCCCGCATAGCCTGACAGTCCTCCACCAGATGGTTTGGACTCTCACACCACTGGCAATGAGCTACTAGAGGCGCAGCTACACCTCGGCCCGAAAGGAGACTGTTAGGCTGCTTCAGTGTCTGCACCAACTCAGCCACCTGCTGCTCTAACCCGGATCTGGCCTCCATAGCATGCACACCACGGTCCCGGGAGTGCCTGCCTCTGCTGCTCTGCCCCCAGGAGTGATCGCGGGCAGCCAAAGTACTGATCATCTGGTTCAGCTCGGGTGGAGTCTTAGTAAGGACATCCCCTCCTGGGCATAGAGACTCGATCACCCTCTGGCTGTCTGGGGTGATGGCACTGTAGAAGTTCCCCACTGTGAAAGCATCGCTGAAGCCATGATGGGGACACTGCCAGAAGTATCCCATGTACCGCTCCCATGCATCACGAAGGGACTCATCTGGCTCTTGGCGGAAGTGAGTGATCTCCCGCTGAATCTCAGTAGTCTTCGATGCCGGATAATATCTGTGCACGAACTTATCCGCCAGATCGTCCCAAGAAGTGATGGACAGTGGGGGCTGGGTCTCCAACCACCTCTTAGCATTCCCCGCCAGAGAATGGGGGAAGAGGTGAAGGCGGATTGCATCATCCGGAACACCATTCAGCTTGAAACCGTTTGTCAGCTGCAGAAAACGGGAAAGGTGTGCCCGGGCTTCCTCATCCTTCAAGCCATGGAACTGGATAGAGGATGTGATGAGCTGAATCCAGCCTGGCTTGATCTCGAAGTTATTTGCTGGGATGGGCGGATAGAGGATGACCGGGCGGATGTCAGCAATCCGTGGAGTGTAGTAGTACTCCAAGGTGGGACCCGGCGGTGGTGGTGGATGCTGATTCACCGGGGGAACCTGTCGAGCATTCCGCGGTTGTGGGATGTCTTCGCCCTCCATCTCGTACTCTTCCTCAGAATCGCTGGTCAAGTGGCCGTCTATGCGCTCTCCCGTAACCAGTCTAGCTCGCTGCTGTCTCCTAAGTTGGCGGCAAGTGCGTTCAAGCTCTGGATCCAACGGCAGTAAACCTCCTGACTGGCTACGGGTCATGCACTACCTGCACACACTCAAGCAAGCTAACCCGTGAAGGCACAAGTGGGAAAAACAAAAACTCAATGCGAAAATGAAAATGCTAAAGTAACAGAAATCACTTTTCTTCAACAACCTAGCCGTCCCCGGCAACGGCGCCAAAAACTTGACTCACTCCTACTGTCACCCTAGAAAATGGCCAAGTATAACCACTTCCTAAAGCGTAGTATAGCGGGTCGGGTTTTAATGTCAACCCGGGTCCTAGATATGATGACTACTCGGTGAATTCTTGTTATTTAGCGGTGAACTTTTAGTGAAACTCAAGCAAACAAAACACAAAGCAAGTAAACGGTTTGTTGTCAAGTCAAGAGAGGTCACCCGGATATGGTTTCCCCCTAGACTGCAGTTAAGCCGGATTGCAATTTACCAAGTTCAGTTTTCATGAAAGTTATACTGCGGAAGGTTCTCAATTAGCCTGAAGTCTCGACTAAAGGTCTCCAGACCCTCTCAATCTGAGTCTCTAGCGGGCGACTAACCTCCACCGGAGTAAACAGATTGAGGCCCTAATAACCAAACCTCCACTACCGAATTGACTTCGGTACAGAATAGCGAATTGGCCCCTCGACTAAAGTCACCAATTCGCCACCTTCGATTAAGGGTACTCTATCAACCTAGGTAGATATTCTCATTCCAGGTCAAAGCAGAAACAACAGGAATTTGATCAGGATTCAAGTCATTCAATCAATCAAACCTCAATCGAATATAATCAATTCACAAACACTGTACTTGGGTTCATACAATCAGACCTAGCATACAAATCTAGGGTTCTCCATACCCAGATGAATGGGGAAACTACTCCATAGAGAAAGAAGCAAAAGCAGATTCAGACACGGAAATCATACTGTGAAGTTGGATTCCTGCTTCTGGACGTTTAATCGCACTTCTCCAAACTCAAGACGGGCTCCAATGGTGTTGAAGATCGATCTATGGCGCTTGAGAACTCTGGTTCGACGCTTTCTCTCTCTAGGTATCGGTTTCTCTCTCAAAAACTCGGAACCCTTTGAAAATTGGCCTTCTTCCTCTTTTATCAGCTGCCTGGTCGCGATACCCGGTCAAAATACCCGGTCGGGTATTTTATGGATCGACCGGGTATTGTGAAACGCACCGTTCCATTAAAGGGGAAAATCCCCGGTCTACCACCAAAATCCCCGACCGGGGATTTATCGCCGTCGCCCGGGCCCCCTTCTGCTTCTCACGGGTGCCCGAAGGAGGAAATACCCGGTCGAGGCCAGAATATACCCGGTCGGGTATTTCTTCCTTTGACCGGGTATTCTGGTCCAGCAGCATCCTTTGTCCAATCTTCGCTCCTTTCGATCCAGAACTCGTTCCTTCGCCTCGATTCCAACGCCAGGACCTGAAATATGACATAAACACACAACCTAGCGTAAAATCGGCTTAGAATACGAGATTCCTCATCACAAACGACTTCAGAATAGGGGTGAAAACATGTATGATTATCGGTCTATCAGAGCTCCATTCTCCGTCGATAATTCTTCATAGCAATCATACCTGTGGTGAAGTCCCAAGTGAAGACCATGAGTCTCTCGGATGCCTCATATGGTGCTTGAGATTCGAAAGACATAACCGAAGATTAGTGCTCATGATTGAAGGAACGAAACTCCCTTTTACAAATGCCCTCATCCGTGAATGGCTTATAGCATTCCCCGGATTCTTCATCTTCGAGAATATGAGCTACTTTGCTCATAATGTTCGAACTCTTTCCTTGGGATATCTTTCTTCAAAGTTGAATCTTCTAAGTTGTATTGCCCGGTAAAGTTCCTTGTGGTCTTGCTGATAGAGTTTGTGCCAATGAGCTTAGTTGGGTTTCAAGATTTTGAAAAGAATCTTGTTATTTCCTTTGATCCGCTTCCGAACTTGAGAATTTGGTCGTAGTATTCTCTATGAATTTTTCAATCGCCTCAAACTTCTTGTTGGAGTGTGTAACGAATTGACCTACCAAGTCTTCAAGTTTAGAGACTCGACCATCGGAGGTTCGACTTTTTTCTTGATACGCTCTTTGGTATGAGGGTTGACTCGGCCTTGGATAAGAATTTTTCATAGGAGCTTGAGATTGAGATTGAAACCCTAGAGGCTTTCTATCCGTTGGAAAGGACCAAAGAAAGTTAGGATGGTTCCTCCAACCCGGATTAAATGTAGAGCTATAAGGGTTGTTTCCTAAGGATTTCCCTCCAACAAAGTTGGCTTGCTCAAATTGTATTGAGGCCTCAATCATAGACTTAAATTCCTCCATAGTGTGACTCGAGTCGCCACACCAATCACATTTCATGAGTTGTTTCCCATTTCCTTTCATTGATGATGCAACTTGATCAATTTTCTTAGAAAGTTCTTGTATAAGAGATGTTAACAAAGATGGTTCTTCAATCTTCAATAAAAGCTTTCAAATTATAACCAATCGACAATGCCATGGTGTGGAAATTTTAGTAGAAGAGACGTTGATAGACCGTTAATTGCAAATGTTTTTACCCCTATTCTTACACCGTTTGAGATGTTGATTCTCGCGTTTTAAGCCGATTTCACACTAGGTTGTTATTGTTTGTGATATTTCAGGTCCTAGTATGCGAATGAAGGTTAGGGAGCGAGTTCGGGGTCGCTTTGACGAAGATCGGACGTGTGGCGAACGCTGAGGAAGCCACATGTGCACTCCTAAAATCCACATGGCTGTGCAAGTCACCAATGTGGCCGTGAGGGATTTAGCGAGGCTTCACACGGGCATACTGGAAATTCCACACGGCCGTGTGTCCTTGCCCGTGTAGGTAGCCTGAAGTTCATTTATTCGAAACGCCGCGCTTTGGCACTCACATGGGCAGCTGGGTAAGTCACACGGCCGTGTGGCCTGCCCGTGTGGTCGGGAAAATCTGGGTTTTAACCCAATTTCGAGCCAAAGGAGAGGGAATCGACTTTTTGGAGCAAAAACAGAGCCCTAGAGAGAGAAAGTGTGAAGAACTCATCCTAAGAGTGGTTTTAGAGTTGGGTTTCATCAAATCAAGCTTGGAGATCATCATAGGAGTGAAAATCATCATCCCAGAGCAAATTCTTCCCATTGTTATGAGTATGACTGCTTTGTATTCTATTTTCCTCTCTCTCTCTATGGAGTAGAACTTTCTCTCACTTGGGTATGAAGAACCATAGTTCCATGTGTTAGGGATCTTGATTCTAATGACTTGGGATTGTTATACTGTTTGATTATAATCGAATGATTCATGATTCATTGAATTAATTGAAGTCTGATCAGCTTTTCTTGATTTCTGCTGCAACCTGAGATAGATAGAATCTGATTAGGTTGTTAGAGCTTCATCATTCGGTAGTATTAGATTGGTTATACGAAAGTTAGTCAGTCTACTGCTTTGTACTGGAATCCAATTCCGGTAGTGGAGTTCTGTGTTCATAGCCTCAGCTTTCAATCCCGGTGAAGGTTAGTCGCCTGTCGGGTAGTTGGACTGAGAGGGCTTGGTCAGCTTAAGAGATTCCAAGCTACTGTCGGATCTTCCGCAGTTTAATCAACAGTAAATCAACCTAGGGTAATTACAATTGAGATCTAACTAAGAAGCTAGGGGGACTCATTCCCGAGTGACTCTTCCTTGACTTCAGAAAACCGAACCATGTCCTGCTTTCTTACTACTTTTAGTTAAAACAACAATCACTCGACTTAGTTTGCTAGATAATAGATAATCACGGAGTAGGCAGTAGATCTAGACCCCGGGTTGACATTAGAACTTGCTACTTTACTGCATTTCTGGACTGCAATTATACTTGGTTGCAGTTTGGTGTTGTGTTTTAGCGTGTCAAGTTTTTGGCGCCGTTGTCGGGGACCCTCTAGGTTATTGGGGAAACATGAAAATTTGTTACTCTAGCTTTTTCTTTACTGCATTTTTCTCTCTTCCACCTGTGTGCCTTCACGGGATGCTTTTGCTGGTTGTGTGCAGGTAGTGCATGACCCGTAGCCACTCGGGAGAACTACTACCATTAGACCAGGAGCTTGAACGGACCTGTAGGAACTTCAAGCGGGCTCTAAAATCGCGACTGGCTGCGGAGGAGGCGCTAGCACAGCTGCAAATCGCCGACGAAGAAGAGATGGATGACCCGCAGGACCATGATGTGGTCATTCCAAAGGAGCAGACCATGGGATACTACTGGACCGCCAGAGCCACGGACATGAGGTCACCCATTCAGCACCCTCATGTGCCAGCGAACAACTTTGAGGCGAGCACCTCGGTCATCATGATGTTGCGCGGTTCGGTGGTGTTCCGTGGCAAGGAGGGGGAGTGCCCCAGATCGCATCTGAGGCGATTCCACGAGTTGATCGATGGAATCAAGATAAATGGGGTCCCAGCCGATGCCATCCAGCTGAGGTACTTCCCATTTACTCGGGAGGGGCAGGACAAGGAGTGGCTAGACACTCGACCTCCAAGCTCGATCACTACGTTCGCCAACCTGGCGGACAAGTTCCTCACTCGCTACCATCCCCCGTCCAAGACGGCGGACCTGCAGAAGCAAATCACCCACTTCACACAGGATGAAGATGAGACCACCCGGGATGCTTGGGAGAGATACACCAGTCTCTTCCTCAAGTGTCCCAACCATGGTTTTACCGCCGCCTTCAAGGTGGGCACCTTCTACCATGCTCTCTTCCCGGAGGATAAGCAGCTGATTGACTCGGTCTGTGGCGGGAATATGCTCACCAAAACACCGCCACAGCTGAATCAACTTTTTGAAGAGATGGCAGAGCAGGGCTATGATTGGGGAACTGCCAGGAGATCGAGAAGAGCACCAGGGCGGGGTGTGCATGCTGTAGCCACCCAGACATCTGATTTGGTGCAGGTGGTATCGAAGCTGGTTTCAACCATCGATCGCTCTGGAATGATCACAAGTATAGGACAGCCGCAGGCGATGCACTGCCAGTGGTGTGAGAGCTGCCATCACACCGTGGAGGACTGTCAGGCGATGAGGGGTGGCGCCAACATCCTAACTTCTCTTGGGCTGAGGCAAATTCCAGACCACCAGTCCCCCAGGGACCACCTGGCTTTCAGAGGCCTCCTTATCAGCCCAGACAAGGGCAATTTCAGCAGCCGCAGCAGCCGCTATACCCGCCTAGACAGGGGCCAGTTCCACCTCAGTCACAGGTGCGACCATTTCATCAGACAGGGGCAGCACCTGCAGCCCCCAGCACAGAGTGACCCGATGGCGGAATCGCGAGACTTGGTGGGTTCTCTGGCCACCTCCAGTGCAAACAAGTTCAATAACATCGAGCAGTTCATGGAGAAAGCTTCAGGTAAATTCTTGGAGCTAGAAGCTGGTCAGAGAAACACACAGACTGTGCTGCGGGATATATAGACCCAGCTTGGGAGTGTTGCCCAGGCTGTAGCTCAGAGGACTCCTGGTACTTTACCTGGTCAGACCATCCCTCATCCGCAGGACTCAAATGAGCACTGCAAGGCCATCACTACCAGGAGTGGCAAGATGACTGCTGATCCACCTGTGCGGGCACAGGAGAGAGAGGCCCCTGCTTCAGCACTTCCAGCTAATGAGGAGGAAATGGAGAAGGAGGTTGAGGTGCCTGCTCCTAAACCGCAACCAGTGGTGAAGGAGTATGTACCACAGCTTCCCTTTCCTACTCGGTTGCACAAGGACCGACTGGAGACTGAATTTGCCAATTCATGACAATGCTGAAGCAGGTAAACATAAGCATGCCCTTCGTGGAGGCATTATCAAAGATGCCCAAGTATGCCAAGTTCATGAAGGATCTCCTCACCAACAAGAGGAAGCTTGGGGAGCTGTCAACGGTGATGCTCAACGAGGAGTGTTCTGCCATCCTGCAGAACAAACTACCAGAGAAGCGAAAAGACCCAGGGAGTTTTACTATCCCTTGCATGATTGGTAGTTTGCATGTAGGGAAGTCCTTGGCGGATTTAGGCGCTAGCATAAATGTCATGCCATATAAACTATTTAAAAAGCTAGGCCTAGGTGAACCCAGTGATACTAGGATGAGCATTCAACTTGTTGATAGATCCATTGTGCATCCTAGGGGTATAGCAGTGGACTTGATAGTCGCACTAGGGCCATTTTCATATCCTGTTGATTTTGTGATTTTGGACATAAATGAGGATGTGGATGTGCCATTGATATTGGGTAGACCTTTTCTCGCCACCGCCAAGGCGCTCAATGATGTGAATGATGGAAAATTGATTTTGCGAGCTAGGGGTGAAAAAATCACCTTATCTGATTTCGAAACCGCACTCGCCATCACGAGTGCGGGTACTGATGATTTCCTTGAGCGTTGTCTTTTGCTAGGGAAACAGGCATCACATGATGTGCAGCTGGAGGAGCAGCTCGCAGAGCTGGACGAGGCCGCGATCGAGGGGCGAGAGATACCATTCAAGCCGATCCCTATCTCGCCCCGGATCGCTACATCAT